AGAGGAATAATCTTATATTTGGTTCCTGGAATTTTAGCAAAAAATATATATTAAGGTAAATGTAATGTAAAATGTAAATTTTCTCAATTTTTACTCACCTTCAAGTGGTTCCAAACCTATGAGTTTTGAGCACAAATAAAGATATTTTAAAGAAAGCTGGGAACCTGTAACCTTTATGTCCAATTGCATAAAAACAAATGCTATGGAAGTCAGTGGTTACATCCCAGCTTTCTTTAAAATATCTTCTTTTGTGATTATCACAAGAAAGAAACTTAAAGAAAGAAAAAAATTTAAAGGGTGAGTAAACAATGACAGATTTGTCATTTTTGGGTGGACTATCCCTTTAAGAAAATATTGTGTTCAATGAAAACAAATCACAATGCATGAAAAAATGAATAATGTATAAACAGATTAATATAACCCATTCATGCAACATTAAACCAGTACTAGGATTACTATGTTTGTATCAGTGACACATGCAAGTATCTGTAGTTTAGTATGCAAGAAGTGATGCCATGCACAAGTCTGGCACAATGCGTTCCTATAGTCTGGCTGCTGTGAACTGATAAAGGCAGAAGGAGAGCGAGAATGAAAGCGCAAGTAATCTCATTAACTCAGTGTTATGAGTGAAAGCCAGCAATCGTGTATAACTGGCCTCCGGGGAATCATGAAACCTGTATAAAGCTCACTCCACCTAGATCATTACAGTCCACACCTCACCAGTGCACACAAACTAACACTGCCCCATCCAAACATGCTTCGTGTTAAGGAGTGAATGCTCATTTTCACAGTGGGCAGAGCGCATTACTAACATACTAAAGCACTAAACCTCTGGAGGCCATGTTTTACGCTGATTTTGCTCTGCTTAATGCTGAACAAAACCCTTTGACCGTGGTAAAATCACTTAGAGCCAGAACAATCCGTTTTATGATTCGTAAGGAATCACTATATCAAACTGCTTTGGAATATTGTCTAAATAAATTAAAAGCAGGGGACTAAAATCTGTTTTTAAATGTCACTAGTACATTTGGACATCACTATGTTATAATGTTGAGCATAAAAAATGTGAACATTTAAAAGCTTTACTCAATTATTAAGGTTTGTAAGTGTGATTTATTTGATTTGATAAGACTTTTATCATGCCTTAAAAAGCCTTCAAAATGTAAACCAACATATTGTGCAGAAAATGATTAAGTACTATAACACATTGAATTATTTACGGAACATGCTGGTCAAATAATTGTTATCTTAACTTATCACACAACAGCTCCCAGCAGGCACAGGATGTCAGCATGACATCAGATTGACGTTGTACACCAACGTCGTGGGTCGTTGCATTTTGAAAATGAAAATTGAATTGAAGTCAGAACACAGCAGCAGAACGACATTAGTGTCCAATGTCAGACAGATGTTGGATTTTGGTCACTTTCCAATGCAACCTAAAAACAACCAAACAACAACGTCTAATGATGTTACAGCTTGATGTTGTGTGGATGTTATCAATATGAAGTCTATCAGACATTAGATTTTGGTTGCCATACCCTCAAGAATAAATGTCAGTATTTGATGTCAAAATGACGTTTATTTAAGATGCTGGCTTGACGTTGGATTTCGGTCACTTTCCAACACAACCTAAAATCAACCAAATATTTCACATCGTTGTTGGACATCAAAATAACATTGTCCCAAGACGCTGTCTAGATATTGAATTTTGGTCACCCGACATCATGACCTAAATCTAACCTAATATTAACATCTTATGATGTGTGCCTGCTGGGCTGTTTATATATCCAAATAAATAAATTTGGCCAACTTTATCCACAAACATATTGATGTAATTGTTAGATTTTTTTGTGTGTGTTTTGTATGGTATGTAGGTAAAGACAAATTCTAAGTCCTTCTCTGTAGTGTGTGTATATATATATATATATATATATATATATATATATATATATATATATATATATATAAATATAAAAAAAAATATATATATATATATATATATATATATATATATATATATATATATATATATATATATATATATATATATATATATGATGACAGTACATAATATTTTTTTATAATGATACTCGTACTTATATTGAAGTGCACATTAAAGACTTAACTATGTTAATTAGGTTAACAGGTTAAATTGGAAACAGCGATTTGTTCTTTAGCAAGGGGGTTAATTATATTGATGTTAAAATTTGTTACATTTTTAGAACAGTTTTTTTTCCAGCCTCTTAAAGAAATAAGACTTTCCTAGAAGAAAATATAATAAATACTGTTAAGATTTCCTTTCTTTTTAAACATCACTTGGGCAATATTTGAAAGATACAGTGCTTAGCGTGAATAAGTACACTCAGTTTAAAAAAAAAATTTTTTTCTCCATTTCTCAGTGAATATATTTAATGTATTTAGGTGCATTTAAGCAAAACAGATTTATTAAACAGATATATTTATTAAAATAATATTTTAGTCATCAAACATATTTAGAAATTGAAAGATAATACAATTAAATTCAAGCAAAATATTGCAAAAAATAAAATAAAAATACAGCCTGTACAATTTCAACTAAAATTTAAATTTTTTTTTGCTTCTCTTGATTTTTCCTCTTTTTGTAAAATTAGTATTAAATAATTTTCTTTAAAAGAAATTTGGCTGTACTAGTTTTTGGTTAGATAAGCTCCAGATTAGGCTTCAGTAGTGACTATATAATATTGTATCAACAACGACATACACACTACACACACACTAGTGGAGTTCCCACTGGTCCAAGTGTGTGTTATGATTGGTATTATGTCTACAGCATTGTACAAATAAGGGGTCGCAGTTTGTTTTCATTTCCCAGGCTCACGTGCTTGACACAGTCTTCGATGCGTAAGACAGAAGGTAAACAAGCAGACAAAAGGACGGGCCATGTTCCCACGGGGACCTCTGAGACCCCAGATTTGTTGTAGTAATGCTTTTGTTAACCTGGTGTGAATGGCGCCATCAGGGCATTGTCTTTTTGTGGCCCATTTACTCTATCAATATCCATGAATTTCCATGATTGATCATCATTTATATAATTAACGATCACTTAACTGATTAATCGATAACCTTTATAATGCATAACGTGTCTACTTAAGTAGCACAATATCACTGGGATGACAAGATGGAAAAATTACAAAACAAAGGCATATTTATTCAAAAGTAAATGTTTAAATGTGAATAAATGGCTAGCATGATTGTAAAAAGATAATTCAATGACTAATGTACAACATGTAAATAGCACAAATGTCTCTAATGTTCACATTAGCCAGGTTTCTATCCTAATGTGAAGTGGATCCTTTCAGTGTTTGCAAAAAAAAAAAAAAAGAGAGGGAGAAAAAATCCCAAATGTAAATTAGGTGAAAATCCATCAATTAATGATACTGTGTTCACACCAAATGAAGAGCAGTTTCACTTGCTCTAGTTTATCCACAGGATGTTTTTTTAATTTAAGTGAATTTTCCACTCAAGTTAAATTATTTGAACTTGTGTGGAAGAAGCAACTGAGATGAATTCCATGTGTTTGTGGCAAAATTGTTATTTATTCTCAAATTATTACTTACCCCAGAATGTAAACAATATCATTGTCCATCTCTAAACTGCTAAATGCTTGAAACTAGTGGAGTTGGCAAATGGTGGAAATTTATTCGCACATTTGCAATGAATTTGTATGCAATCTTCTTATGCTACTTACAGTGCTCAGCATAATTAAGTACACCCCACTTTAAAAATTGTCCATTTCTCAGTGAATATAGGAAATGCATTGTGGTGCATTCAAACAATACAGAATTATTAAAAAGATATATTTATAATAATACTATTTAGTCACCAAACATATTTAGAAATTGAAAGATAACACAATTAAATTCAAGCAAAATATTAATAAAAAAATTACAACCTAAAAAATGTAAACTAATTTTCATTTATTTATTTTTTGCTTCTCTTGATTTTTCCTCATTTAAAAAAATGTATTTAATATTTTTCTATAACATTTAAATTTGGGTGTATTAGTTTTTGGACTATTATTGTAAGTTATTTTGTTAGATAAGCTCCAGATTAGCCTTCTGTACTGCCTAATTAAATGTATATGCACAAATATAATATTGTGTAGCTTTCTATTAAAATATGAATTTAAAAGATAGATTTGTGAGAGGTGTACTTACATATGCTGTCGCTTTTGGTGTTTCTTTTGGTGTTTCCATTGACTTCCACTTTAACCACATTTTTTTGACTGCAAAACCATGATACCATATAATCATGCATTTTTGATTGTTGGTGGTTTTTCCTGTTGGGAAGAGGTCGAATTTGTAACTTTCACTGTTGATCTTCAGTTGGCACCATTAACCCTTTAGATAGGCCTGTGCAAAAATGCTTAGTTTCCGGATTTTTATATGGAGTTTAACAGCAAATTAAAGTGTGTGTATGTGTGTGTGAGTGTGTAAGAGTGACCTTTATGCACTAACCTTGATGTGTCTGAGAAAATCAAAATATGCATCTAAGCTCTCAGAACTACATGGAGTAAACAAAAACAAAGACTGTGTATTTATGCACCATCAAATGTGGTTATAATGGAAGTCACCAGGGCAAAAACTGCAGCCAACAGTAAATTAGAGACAAAATGGAAAATCTAACAATGCATCAAAGCCGATTTTGTTACTAATCGTTCACATGTCCAAAACTGTGATAAAAGGTTAAAAAACTCCAGTCCACAATTAAGTTTTATATTAAAAATACATAATTTTGTGTTTTTTTTTCACCAAATCAGTGATATCATTTGTGAACTTGGCAATTAAAGAGGTAAAATCCTGTAATTTTGAGGTTGAGGTTGATTAACAGATAAAAACCTTGACCAAATCGATCATAAATAAAGTGCATCAGTTATCAACATTATTATCAGAATTATCAACAATCAATCACCAGTTAATTGTTTGCATCTCATGCAGTTGTTTTTCTGTCTTTCTCAGGTTGTTGTTCCCACACGGGTTGGTCAAGTCTATGTGTATGACACGGGAAAAAATGAACAGGACGAATATGATGTCCCGAGACACCTTCCACCCAGCCAGGACATCTATGACGTGCCACCCACCCGAACCCAGTACATCCAACAGGTAAAGAGTTCAGCAGAAAGAGCGACTGTGTCACTGCCTTGAGTTACAGATGTGCTTTAATGTCCATGTGAAGATCATTACACTGTAGGTTATTTGATAGCTTGTAATTTGTGCCTGAGCCAGTTGAAAATCGTTATTGATGATAATAGTCTTTAAGTGAATCGCAGACATCTGTAATGTGTGTGTGAGTGTGTGTGTAATAGATGATCGTCACACACTCTGGCAGACTCTAGAGAAGAGCCTTCACACTCATTAATAATACAAGCAATGAGAATATAAAATCCTTCCTTCATTTTCTTGCTTTCCTACAAGAATTTCCATTAATTGTTTGAAGATTTCTTTCTTTCTTTCTTTCTTTCTTTCTTTCTTTCGATTTTCTTTTTCTTTCTTTCTTTTTTTTCTTTCTCCTGATTTTGAAGATTTTTCTCATTCATTCTTTCTTTCATTCTTTTGAAAGATTTTCTTTCTTTCATTCTTTCTTTTGAAAGATTTTCTTTCTTTGTTATTCTTTCTTTTTCTTGTTTTTGAAAATTTAGTTTTTTCTCTTTCATTCTTTCTTCATTCCTGATTTTCTTTCTTTTATTCTTTCTGTCTTTCTCTTGATTTTTTCTTTCATACTTTCTCTTGATTTTTTTCTTTCATACTTTCTCTTGATTTTGAAGATTTTCTTTTTTTGAAGTTTCTTTCTCCTTCTTTTCTTATTTCTTTCCTTCTTTTATTTCCTTTCTTTTATTTTTTCTTTCAATCATTTCTTTTGTTTTTCTTTTTCTTTCTTTCTATTGATTTTGAAGATTTTATTCTTTCTTTCTCTTTTATTCATTCTTACTTTTTTCTTTTTCTTGATTTTCTTTGTTTGTTTGTTTGTTTCTCCTGATTTCTTACAATTTCTCTTTCTCACTCAATTGAATTCTTTTTTATTTGTTTTTAAAGCAACTGTTTTTATCTAATTTTCATCACTCATTTGTTCGGTCTATTGTTTTCTTAATCTATCACTTTTATTTGTTCTTTTGTCCGATCTTCTGTCTTTCTGTTATATCTTCATTCCTTTCGTACATTTTTACTCTTTCGCTCGCTGTTTCTCTCTCTGTTCTCCCGCATCTTTATATTCCTGTTGGCTCGATGATTGCATGCCTATTTTTAGATGAGGTCATGCATTACTTGCAGTGGAAGTAGATATTTCAGTGTCTGGAGGCATTTCAAAAAGAAGGTCAGCATTGTGTGTGCGTCTGTGTATGTGAAGCAGAATATCCTGAGACTGAGTACTGTGTGTGTCTATGAGGGAGAATGTGCTGTCAGCGAGATCAGTCCTTCAATGCAGCACACTGCAGCACACATACACATACACACACACACACACTCCTGGAGCACAGAGGGAAAGACAAAGCCTAGCTCATGGCAAGGGCCACGAATACCCAGACCTCAAAATTCCAACACACACACAGCCTGCAGCACAGCCATACAGATAGAAACATGGATGACTGCTAAGACCTGACCACATGCTGTAAATGACAGACTGGACTAAACAGGATACATTGCTTGTCATTTTTTTTGGCCAAACACAACCGTATTTCCAGGAGAAAGTACTGTACAAACACAACTGCTGTAAAATTAACATTAAAATACACATGGGAGGAGAATGAGGTGCCATTTACACTAATGTGTTTTTGTATTAAAACACATACGTTTTGTTTAAGTTATGCCTGGTGTTAAGTTATGCCTACTCTGGCATCTTCAATTCTGTGAAAGCTGAGCACTATAAAAATCCTGAAGAACTTGGTATTGTTTTGGATACGCAGGTGATTTGTTTCAGTATAGACGGACGGAAACTGAAACTTTTCAAAACAGAAGCATGACTATCTGCTCTCTGATTGGTCTTCTGGACATTTGCATATAATTCCCTGATTCGTCAAGCCTTGTATAACTATTACACAGGTGGTAGATTGTAAGTTCTGATGCAGGCAAAACTTTCACATGCCCAGTGAGTGTGAATGATCAGGTATCATGCATTTTATGTTGTATAGTGTGAAAGGAGATAATTTTTCTGAAATGCAATACAAAATTCAGTCTGGACGAAAAGCATTTTCAATCTAATTCTGTTTTTTTTTTTTTTTTTTAAAGAAAAACACACTAGTGTAAATTGTGTAAATGAGTTATTCGTAAACGAAGAAGAAAGAAATTGTGGCCAACAATAAAGTTAATTGACAAGTGCATGTTAGTATGGCTGTTTAACTTTTTTTTTTTTTTAATCGAGTCCAATACCATTTTGAAATTGGTGTAATTTTGAAATTCTAATCGATTCCTCAACGTTGTTGAGGAATTGGATTCCTACTTCTCACACCCTGCTAATAGCAATAACTATCAAACAAGCTAATTGAAGCTCATAATTATTGGATGAAAGGCACAGAAATATAATGTGTCTAAAATGCATGTGAGCAGTTGAAGTGTAAAGTGTAAACTTTCAGGTCAGCCGCATTATATTTGTATCACAGAATAAAACAATAATAACAACATAAATATAAATTAATTAAAGGAAAATGTATTATGCATTCACAAATTGCTTTATTTATTATTTAACATACAGTAATATTTAATAATATTTCAACATGACATACCATAACCACTTTTAGAAATGGCTAAATCGTTGAAGCGAACTATGTGGAAAAACCTTTCACAGAAATGCATCATTCATTCATTCATTTTCTTGTTGGCTTAGTCCCTTTATTAATCTGAGGTCGCCACAGCGGAATGAACTGCCAACTCATTCAGCGTGTTTTTAACCAGCAGATGCCCTTCCCGCCACAACCTATCCCTGGGAAACATCCACAAACACTCACACACACTCATACACTACGGACAATTTAGCCTACCCAATTCACCTGTACCACATATCTTTGGATTGTGGGGGAAACCGGAGCACCCGAAGGAAACCCACGCGAAGGCAGGGAGAACATGCAAACTCCACACAGAAAGGCCAACTGAGCCGAGGATCGAACCATCGACCCAGCTACCTTCTTGCTGTGAGGCGACAGCACTACCTAATCCTCCACTGCTTCGCCGAAATGCATCATGTGTTTGATAATTATTAGCAAACAGGCATCTAAATAGGAGAGTTAGTTCTTTTTAAATTAAAATGAAGATGAGCTCTTAATGAAGAATTAGTTCCCTTCGATTTAAATCGATTCCAACCTCAAAACCAACTCTCAATTCTCAATGCCTCGGAATCAAAGATTAACTGTATAATTTGCTAAACTTCATATGTTATGCATGAATGTGAAGGCTGATTTTTTTGTGGCGATCAGGTGTTCACAAAGCTTACACACTTACTATACAAGGCAACACCAAACCAGGCCAGTCTTCAGTCAGAACTAAAATAGCAACACACTACTGAAGAAATTAGACAGCCATGTTGATTAGTGCATATTCAGGGGGATCAAAAGAAACTATTTTAAATGAGTTTGCACTCACAAAAAAGCTGAAAAAAGTTATGAAGTAGGATGTATCTTTCTATAGTGCATATGTAAAATGCCTACTTTTTAGGTTGTGTTGGAAAGTGACAAAATCCAATGTCTAGCCAACATCTTAAACCCATGTCATATTGATGACAAATACTGACATTTATTCGTCAGGTATGGCAACCAAAATCCAACGTCTGATAGACATCATAGTGGTAATGTCCACACAACATCAAGCTGTAAGATCATTAGACGTTGATATTTGGTTGATTTTTAGGTTGGACGTTGAACTTTGACATTGATCTGACGTTGGGTTCTGACATTAACCTGATTTGGAGTACAACGTCAATGTGATGTCATATTGATGTCTTGTGCCAGCAGAGTATGTTTGCCCATCCTACCAAATGGAATTTACTCTCAACTGTGCGTGCATTAATAAACAAAAGTATACTTTTGCTAGTTTCCCAGTGATGGGTTGCAGCTGGAAGGGCATCCACTACATACATGTAAAACATCTGTTGGAGAAGCTGGCGGTTCATTCCACTATGGTGAACCCTGATTAATAAAGGGACTAAGTTGAAAAGAAAATGAATGAATACTTTTGCTATAGCAAGTTTTGCCACGATGCTGAATTCGATTGCTTGGTTTCTCACACCAACAAAGAATGCTGCAAGCTAAACCAGCCAGTTCAAAATCGCTCCAAATATTGCTTGTAATAAATCGGCGTCTCTCCGATTAGAGTGATAGGAAGGGAGAAAAAGCTAGACGTTTAATCAAATGGAGCTGGCACGGCTGCTGCTGGATGCTCAATGAGAGCTTTTGGTATTCATGGTTTCTCTTGCCTCAGTCTCTGGCTGCAGGCTCTCCTGAGGGCACACAACAGATTGAGAGCCATTGTTTGGCCAGCATTATAAATGCTAATGGTGTTTGTGTAAGGGTGTGTGTATGTGTGGTTGCTGCAGTATTGATTGATAGAAGTGTAGAGTAGACATGACTTCAGAACACTGGGATAGTTCTGTGTGAATTTACGGTCGTAGCTTGAGGTGTAAATTGTTTAAATCTGTGGATTGCTGATGATTGCAGAACTCGCCGATATACAGAAACAGTTTCATTTTTAACTAGAGCATTTCACTTTGCATGTGACATATTTCTGTTGTAAATAATTATTATTTTTGGCAGCATATATTTCTATGGAGTCATCAGGAGCCCGGGGGAGTAATAAATGATGAAGTAATAGTATATTATGCTTGAAATGTGACATTTTATTTGTACATAAAAAAAAAAACATCTTGTAGAAAATGAAGTCTAACAGCTGCATTTGTAATGATAGACATTTTCGGCTATTACCACCCTTAGAGGGCAGTTTGTGAACCACTGGTTTAAATTATTAATGGCTTAGTATTAAACTGAAAAGTGTGTGTGACAGTCTTTCTTAGATGAGATTACACTTCATTTTCATCCAAATTCCCACAACCTCATTTCACCCACATCAGATGCAGTAATGGAAAGAATCACACTTTAATGGCTGCTAGCACTATAAAACATTTACTGGGTTTTAATTCTTTGCTAACATTCAAGCCCTTTGTGTGTGTGTGTGTGTGTGTGTGTGTGTGTGTGTGTGTGTGTGTGTGTGTGTGTGTGCGTGTGGTTATTGTTTCTTGTTTGGATCAAGTGCTGTAGGCATTATTTGATATTTATATCAGTTGTCAAAGGTCTGACAGAGCGTTAAGGCAGGAAGTCACACTTCATTTTTAGCATGTTCTGAAACTCGAGTCAGCGCTACTGCTGTATTTATAAGAGCTCATGCATCTGAGAGTCTATGGGTTTTCTTAAATATACATCTCGGGGCAACCTCATTTGTTAGAATAACTTATAAATAAACACGTTTTTAGTTTTCTAAAATATTTTTCTTTGCAGCTAGATCTAGGGTCTCTGTATTGTACTTATATACGCTATATTATTATGAATATAGGCCTATATATAGATAGATAGACAGACAGACAGCCGATAGATAGATAGATAGATAGATAGATAGATAGATAGATAGATAGATAGATAGATAGATAGATAGATAGATAGATAGATAGATAGATAGATAGATAGATAGATAGATAGATAGATAGATAGATTAATGAAAACTTTTATTCGGCAAGAACTATTTAAATAGTTTCAAAGGCACATTCATAATGTTACAAAATATTTCCATTTTGAATTAACTCTTTTGAGCTTCCTGTTCATCCTGAAAAAAACAACAACATCAAAATATCCACAGGAAATGGCAGAAACAATTTTGCCAGTTTAGTTTGCCATAGCACAACATTCCTAATAACTTGTATGGTTTCCCTTGTGAATATGATCACAGGGTTTTCTTATCATATTTTGGGTAGAATAATTCATTTGCCATATTTTGGCAGTTGATGCGTGTCATAAATATATATCAGATGTCATTGTTTATGCTCATCTCCTGTATTTTTACATTGAATTTAAATTGTATTTTAAACGATGTTTGTGATGTTATTTTATCCCGTGAAGTACTTTAAAATGTGCAATTTTCATTCGGTCTTTGACGTAATCTCAAATAGAGTTAACTTTGTAACAAAGGTTCGGCAGTGGAACCTCACCTCAATTTACCTCTTAAACCAATCACTTACTCCCTAAAACTTATTTAAGGCAGACCAGCCCTCTAGCACTGTTCTTCTCGTTCTCTCAAACCCAACCTCCCTCCCTTTATTCCTTTGCTTCCCATAAACTATCCTTATAACCCTCTCTTCCCTCCTGGGTTGAATCAGGGCGTCCAATCACTCTACCAAAATATAACAGAGATGGTACCCCCACTCTGAGTCTCTGGGCATTATCGTAGGACACCCGATCAACCTACCTATCTGTTCACTGTTTATCCTCTTACTTCCCTTCAACTTCATCCCACTGTTCCCTTACCATCTCTTTCATCCCTACAATAAAGTCTAGCTCAAAGTATGGCATGGTCCTTGTTGGTGAACTAAAACATAAAGACAGGGCAGAACATCTAGAAGCTCCTCCCCCCCCTTTTTTTTTTTTTTTTTTTTTACAAAACAGCCAATAGCATTTCATTTTGACCACAGCTCTGCCAGTGAGAATGGTTGAGCTCAAATGCATCAAATGAAAATCTAATGAGAAGCGCCTTAAAGGGGGCGAGACATGTCAGATACTAGAGAGCATTTGATTGATCAGAGAATATAAAAAGAAACTGAAGTGATGTCAAAAAAGTTTATCTGTTTAGAAGTGACAAACCGAAGACTTGGGTTGTTTATATCTTCTAAATTTGAGTTTTGTCAATGTTTTGGTGCACTCTAGCTTATAGATATCCTTAAAATTAACATACTGACATGTAACATCTAAAAGAATTTTTTTAATAAGGCCTTTAAGAGCTTAAGAGCAACTTACAAGACAATTCTAGCATCTACTGTCCTAGAACCCTTAAACATTACTGTGTATTCCAGTGACATAAATCACAGAAGCAATTATAGCAGTGTAGTTTGCCACATCATAACATTCCTAATAACATAACAAAAGCTTCTATCATATTCACATCAGCCTGACCACCGAGCCACTGTAGAGGTAGCAGACTGAAAGAGAGCGATTGTAGGTGAAGGTGGAGGTCAGCGTCTCTGCAGAACTGCTGATTTCCTCCAGCTGTTGCTGTCTGAGGTCGTGCTCCTGTAATCTCTCCACATCAGTGTGAATGTGTCCCCTATTGAGTGTACCTGTGCTCCTTTTGACCCCCATTCATCCAAGTGCCTCGATTCCAAATCTGCTCTAACATGCACAAAAAAATAAGGGAAGTAAAAAATGGTTCAAAGTTTCTATGAGGTAGAGAAAAACCAAGGGCTCTGAAAAACAAATCAATAAAATGGGCAGAAACATAATTCAATTCAAGCCGGATCTACTTCTTGTCATGTATTTATGTCTTAAATTTAAATATGTGTGTCTTTTTTTGACCCTGTACTCTCTCTGTGCCACAGGTTTATGATACTCCTCCTATGGCAATGAAAGGCCCACCCAGTGGTCAGGAAATCTACGACACTCCACCTAGTGTGGATAAGAGCCAGCTGCACTACCAACAAACGGTACCCATCCATCTTTTTCATATTTATCTTATTTGCATATTTGATCTGCACATTAATGGGTGCTTAAGAGATCTGAATTGCCTGAAACAAAATGCCACAAGTCTCTAATACATGCAGAAAGGATTGTGTAAGTGATTGCTACTTTTAGCCAGACTTGGCAACTGTATTACTGTTGACCGCCAGCTTCAAACACATGCTGCCCCTCCTAAACTCTACCCACTAATGACATCTCAGCCAATCTGACGACAGCAAATCATACAGCGTTAAATGATTCACAAGCAGAAATATTTTCTGATTGGCTAGTCAGTCAAACACAACACCTGTTTCATTTATATCTAGGAAGAATAATGTCAGCCCCCTCCCCCAACACAGCATCCAAAAGAAACAACAACCTTGCAGCACTATCAAATAGTGTTTAATTTTTTTAACAGTTCTAGACTGAACAAAATGATGTGAAACAAATTTCACTCATAAATTGCTAGTGTGTTTTACATCAAGTAGCATATTTAAGATTGAACGTGTATTCCTTGCACAAAAAATCTGAAATTGTACACACAGTCACATTGATTCATACCACATTTAGGTAGCGTGTTTGATTTGCAATATACTGGCAGTTAACACTGAGCATATGTTAGATATTTAATTGTTCATGCACATTTCCTGTTTAGTGGTCCCTTATTAATCGTGAGAGTTACGTTCTAAAAATAACCCGCAATAGGGGAAATCCGTAAAGTAGTCAGCTTTATGTTTTACATTTTAGATGTTTTAAGGCTCTAAAACCCCTCACTACACACTTTATACACTTTTCTAAGAGAGGCATTAACATTTTCACACTTATTTCTCTTGTTTAAAAACGCAAAGTTCAAACCTTCGTCCAGTACTATAGAATAAATCCAACTGCAGTAACTGATCCACAAAACTAAAGCAGACTCCTTACGGTGGTCTTGTTGTGGACAGTTACAACCCTTTTGCATCCTTGTTGAACTTTATTTCTGCTGTCGTCCATATGTTACTTTTTTCCTTCTTTATGTTACTTCATTTATTCCGTAATGGCGCCTTACAGCCGCATAACTTCTATCCTTGTTTTAGCATGTCCAGAAGTCCAACTTTTAGTTCGATGGTTAGCATCTTCCTTTTGAGTGCCTTTGATGGTGCTGAATGTTTCGTCAACATTTGTGGGGTTTGTTGGGGAGAAATACTCCAAACATACAGTACAGCACTTAAGAGTCACACTGCTAGTGATCAAAGATTTATGTACATTTGGCAAGCTGAACGCATTCTTTACTGTACAGGAGACACGGCATGGAGAAGATTGATTGACAATGGTCTAAATACATCTGTCATAGGGTGCAGAACACAATGCACCAATCAGGACGCAGAACACACTGAAAACATCAGTGAAACTACAAGGCTGCGAAAATGTGAACCGCATCATAGCGAGGGACCACTGTATTTTTACATTAATTAATGCTTGCTAACATCTAATGCTTGAAATAATATTTAACTGTTGCATAATTGAAGTTTTAAAGATCAACTCTTTGGCAAATCTCAAATGCAATCCGTTTGTTCATTTATATATGTTTTTATATTATAAGGGTGTAACACCTAAATTCCCTTGAAACCTTTAAAATGGCTTACACTCAACTTATATGAACCAAAAATGTAACAATCAGATCACTAATGACTTCAGTTATGATTATAGGAGGCTTGTTTTGGTAAACACATTATTTCTTTTTACAGGTATATGACATTCCTCCATCTGTCAGCAAAGACGTTCCAGATGGTCCAATCAGGGAGGAAACGTACGACGTTCCTCCTCATTTTGCCAAGATGAAGAGCCTGGAGAATCAGAACCAAGCCTATCTGTCTCAGATCCCTGGCGGTCCCGAGCCTCCCATACCAGAGGATGTCTATGATGTTCCTCCTCCTCAGCTAATAGGAAAACGACAGCCTGAGGGCCAGGAGATCTACGACATCCCTGCCAGCCTGCGAAAAGGTGGCCCACAGGACCACCACCCCACAGATGTGTACGACTTCCCTCGTGAGCGCCCAGCAGGCGAAGATTCAGGCGATTACGTGTATGATGTGCCTCCACAGGTGGTCCGTGATGCAGCGGCCACCGAGGAGCTCACGGTCAGCTTCAAACGGCTGTCAGCGTCCAGCACTGGAAGCACTCGCAGTAATCTCTCCACGTCCTCTTTAGACATGGTGCCAGTGCGGGAATCTTCTGGGCCAGGTCGCTTGCTGCTCCTGGATCTGGACCAGGCTATGGAGCGTCTGTCCCGTCATCAACAGGCTGTGGAGAGCTCCGTTTCTCTCCTCATGTCGTTCATCAGTGGAAACTGGCGCAGCTCCACTCAGATGGAGTCCAACCTCCCTGCCATCCGACAGGCCGTGGACCGCATCCGTGTGGCAGTCAGGGACCTGCTGGAATTCGCTAGAGGTGCTGTAGCCAATGCCACCCAGGCCACCGACCGCACACTGCAGACCAAGCTTGGCAAGCAGGTGCAGAAGATGGAGGAGGCCTTCCAAGGTCTGGTGAGGTACAGTCAGGCACTGGACACTTTGGGCTGGTCCCCTGCAGCCCTGATGACATCTCAGCCAGGCACAGGTGGGGATGACCTGGACCGGCTGATCATGTGTGCACGTGGTGTACCTGATGACACCAAGCAGTTAGCATCGTTTCTCCATGGCAATGCCTCTTTGCTCTTCAAACGGACAAACAAGCAGCAGCAGCTTCCTTTGCCACCTGTTCCTCATACCGGTGACTCGCTGACCAATAATAACAACATCTCAGCCTATCAGTCAGGGACACCAGAAAGGGCCAACATCCAGTCCCGTCCATTACCCTCCCCTCCCAAATTCTCAGCCGAGGAGGAGGCTCCAGATAGGCCGTATGAGACAACAGAGGAGGGTTGGATGGAGGACTACGACTATGTCCATTTACAGGTATGCTAAATACAAAAATCTTCAGATTGGTTTTCTAGTTGTATGTTCTCATTGGTCTGCATGCCATCCTTATATGGGCTCTGCCTGTAATCCCCACTGTGTCAAGCCTCAGGCCTTTAATCAATCACCTTGATTGCATGTGCAGACCTGCTTTTCCTTAAAGCCCACATACATCTTCCTTTAGCACCAGCTGTTGCCTGTCATTGTGTCAAAACTTCCACGGAAACTGTGCAGATAAATGACCACAGTTTAGTCATAGGGGCATTTTTTAGTCTTTCAGGCTTTCTGTGTAACTGATATTTTCCTTTAAAAAAAAAAAAAAAACTTATTTATTTTATATGCTCAAGGCAGATTACTTCATCACCTAAAACATTTATTTTTTATTGATTTTTGTTTCATTTGAAACCTCCACTTGGGTTAAAAATCAGAGGAGGTATGTTTAATTAAGAGTCTGACTTCTGTAATCTTTTCAACAGCCAAAAATGGCTGTGTTGAGTTTCACTGTAATGTTATGCTGCCCCCCTGTGGAGTGAAAAGAAGCGTTTCAGCACACACTGTGAAAAATATGGTGGAAACATTCCAGTTGTGACTAATAGTGAAGGTTTATCTTTTTAATATGAATCAGTGCACAGATAATTAACAAAAACCTTTGCTCGTTTGATAGAAAACAAATTGTGGCCTACCTTTTTGGATTTAAAAAGCTTTACAATTAGTCGACCCAGTATCCATTCATTCATAAAGTAATTTTTTTTTTCTATTTTAGGGTAAAGAAGAGTTTGAGAAGAACCAAAGACAGCTGTTGGAAAAAGGGAGCATCAAACAAAATAAGACTCAGCTTGAACAGCAACAGGTATGCGAGACTATAACACCTTTTATGTTATAATAATACACAACATCATTTTTCATAACGTTAGGACATTCCATTTTTAATCACTTAAACTATATTAGAACATGATTAATTGAAACGTAAATGCCCATAAATATGCCAAGGGGTATAAATACAGCTGATTTAGAGTTTAATGAAAAAATAACATATTTAATGATGCTCACTTGTTAAGCCACTTAAATTTTACATTATACTAATTTTTAAAAACCTTATGCTAATTTTGCTAAGCTTTGACTTATTATTACTACACTGTAAAATTTATATGATCAATTAGTCCTGACAGCATGTTTTAGGTTATTGTAAAATATTAAACTTATTAAAAAGTTTAAAAGTTAAAAAGCTGTTTTAAGTCAGTTTAACATAATAGTTCAATGGACTCAAAAGGCTCATTTGATTCAGCTTAAAAATTTAAGGCAACCAGGATTTTTTACACTGTTTTGTTTGAATTTAAATATACTTTTTTTGTATGTATACATGTAATTTATTTACAGCGTTGGGCAAGCTGCTTGAAAATTGTAGTGACCTAAGCTATTAGCCACTCTCCCTAAAATGTAGCTTAACTACACGAAAAGCTACCGCCTGGGAAATGGCACAAACTAAGCTAAAAGCTACTTGGCAAAAGTAGATTAACTACATCTAAGCTATTTTTGCAATTTTAATTTTTAAATCGAAGCAACTTAAATCTAAGTCAGTCATACCTCAGTGATTAATAAAACTATCAATGAAACATGAGGCATAATTGTTTAATTCAGTTATTTACTGCAAACTATATTATGTACCAAACAGAAACAAAGTATTAGACCAAAAACAAAAAAATCCAATAAAACTAGGTGTTACACATTTATAATACTACATTATTTATAGTAAAGGGAAATATTTAGGAATATGCATTATATTGTATTTATATTTTTTTATATATATATATATATATATATATAACTATTTATTAATGAATTGCAAAAACATATATACATAATGTTATATTATATGTTTAATAAAAAAGTACCACAATAATTAAAAAATAAAAAGTTAAATAAAAACTACCACAAAAATTTTATTTGAGTACTTCACTGTTTAGTTCAAAAACATTATAGTACTTAATATTACTGAAGTATTTTTAAGCACAGCATCAGAATTAACATTATTGCATCTTAACATGTACTTCTCGAGGTATGGTCACGAGGAATCCTGCTTCAGAAATAACTCCTCTCGTTGTCTTTAGCCTATTTGGTTGGTGACTTTACCATCCTGGGGGTGTTTCTAAAAACCATCGTTAGCCAACTAAGGTCGCAAGTTGTGTCGTTATACACAGTTTGTTGATTTGCCATTTCCCAAATCCATCGTTCCAACGAACCTTCGCAAACTGCGTCGCAAACTTGTATACTTGCAACTACACCTCTGGAGCTGTAGTTAGAAGCAGCTACAGCTCTTCTAATTCTCCAGAATAGGCTTTGTTCTATTCCCAGTTATCCCCCTATACTCTATTCATTTAGAACATTCGAACATTTAAACTTCTAATTATAAAAAAAGTATTAAAGTCATCACTCTTAGGTGTTATTTACTTTCATTGTATTTTTACAGTTCAGTTTTAGCGATATTCATGTTTACAACTGACCACCCTTCGCAGTGCATTTTGAAAACATTGGTGTCATTTTGAACACAGCCGTTGCTTATGACGAAAGCTATAGGTGACCTATTATTTAAAAGTGGAATTGAGGCTACATCTCCAAAGCTTGTGAAAGCAAAAAACACAGCATACAATAATGCTTTTAATTTATAGTAGGTTATTTATTAAGTATCTGTACTGTATATGACATGGGCCTGTTGATTAGAACATTTCTGCAGTGGTTTGCATGTCAAATTGTAAACTTTTCAAAAAAAAATTAAAATAATTAAACAATATCCTACTTAATAATCCTCATCATCATCATTAATATTATTAATATTATTATTAAAGTAGGATTTTTTTTTCATTTCCCAATAAATAATAAATATTAATTTTCATTTTTGAATAAATCGCCTCATTATTTATTTATTTATTTATATGATTTATATATGATATTAGAATACGTGTTAGCTTTTGTAAGTGGCTTTATGTTTTAGAATAGAATATGTAATGTTCCCAATATTTGCAAAGGAAACACAGGCCCAATATGTGCCATTTACATATATTTCAATTAATATGGAAAACGAGTGCATGTTTTTACCAAAACTTATATTGAGTGAGCATGTAAAACAATATAATTTGCACAAAGAAATGATGGGGTTCTTCTCTAAAGAAGTAGTTACTCCTCCCCGTTTAGAGCATCATTATGGGCTTTTTACGTTAAAACTAAAGTGGTTTAAACAATGGATCTGCAGCAGAGAAACTATGGCCTTTGGGAAACACTCGTCACTACATCGCTCTTTTCCCAAATGATGCAGCGTACTATATTAGTTACGTCGTCGTTTGGGAAACACAGCCCAAAGTGAGATGAGGCAGTAACGCACCAAAACAAGAAGAAGATTTTGCCATTCTAATTATCATATGGATTTACTTTCATCGGCTAAACAGCAGCCTTACAGCTCTGTGAATGTCCGTACCGTCACTCAGGCTACATTCAAACTGCAAGGCTTAGTGCTCAAATCAGATTTTTTTGCATGGCTGTTCACACTGCTCTTATAAATGTGGCCAATATCAGATTTGCAGTGTGAACAGAACATGGTCCTAAACTCACCCGCATGTGCAAAAGTACATTACGGAGAGCAAAAAATGTGGACACGTGTATACTGTATGAAGTGAGCACGTTGTCAGATCATGCTTATATGATTATTACCCTTTTTACAGACAACCGTGGTGTATTTCATAAATGGTAAAGGGTTGTTCTGCTACTGCTTATGTGTATTTCGGCATTTGAGACCTAAAATAGTATGTGGTGCTCTGACCACAGGTCTATTAAACTCATAAAGGGTTAATGAGCAGCCGCAGACTAAACTGTGAAGGCGGAGTTGGTTTATATCTGTTTGCAGAGTTATTTAATTTTACTTCATTATAAACAACAGACACATGCAGAAGGGGGGTTTGAGTGCTCGAGCACCTGCCCTTTTTTCTATCGAAGAGAAAGTTCCCTGTCCTTTGCACATATCCCCTAGCCGCAACACCCATGATGCTCTTCATCTTAGCGATCAACCCATGCCTTAATCGTAACCAGATTAGTTAACAAGCACCAGTTTTGCCTTCAAAATCCTTTTCAAATTTAACAACCAACTTTCTGTGGTACTGTAATCGCCCTGTGTGCCATTCTACTATGCTGCTGAGGAGTAGATGATGTCTGCAGCACAGAATGATGACGTTTGTTGCTCGAAGATTACGTAAAAGTCACATAAGATCCAACATAACCGTTCACACTGTGGTCGCATTGCAAAACATCAGATCTGTGTCTGATTTGAGGCTATATTGAAAGTGGCACAAATCTGAATAGAAAAGATCAGATTCCATGCGGTTTGGACTGTTCACACTGTCATTACCTCAGTCACATGAGGGGGAAAAAATTCGATTCGGGCTACATTTGCCTGCAGTGTGAACATAGCCTTATTGATCTGCGATCAATAAATGTAGTTTGTGTGGATGCTACTGCGCTACTTGACTAAAAAAATAGCTTTGCTAGTGAAAAGCTATTTGATTTAGAAAGTAGCGACACTACCTCCACACTACTGAGAAATGTAGTTAAGCTAGAAGCATCACTACTTGTAGCGACGCTACTGCCCAACACTGTTCATTAATATGTTTTAAATATCCTGCAAAAAAGTTGAAAGTCCCATGTTGTATTGCAAACCAACCATATTAATCTTTTAACTAACAAGTATACATTTTAAGTACATATAGATTTCATCATTTATAAAAAAATATACAAGGTGTATTAAGTAAAATATGAAAAATAACATTCTTTACAAATACATTTATGAAATATTACTCACTAGTGTCTCTAATCTTTAACAGCTGAAGCAGTTTGAACGACTAGAGCAGGAGGTCTCTCGACCAATCAACAATGACATTTCGGGTTGGACTCCGCCCTCTCACTACCCCCAGACGCAGCGCAGTAAACTGTGCATGGGCGACCGGCAGCTACTGCTTTTTTACATGGAGCAATGTGAAGCCAACATCACCACGCTCACCAACGCCATAGACGCGTTCTACTCCTCCATTAACAACAACCAGCCGCCCAAAATCTTCGTCGCCCACAGCAAGTTCGTCATCCTCAGTGCCCACAAGCTGGTCTTCATCGGAGACACGCTCTCTAGGCAAGCCAAGTCTCCAGAGGTTCGCACCAGAGTGGCACAGCACAGCAACACACTCTGCGACAAACTCAAAGACATTGTGGTCAGCACCAAAACAGCAGCCCTGCAGTACCCCTCGCCAGGATCCACCAGAGACATGACAGAGAGGGTGCGGGAGCTGGCGGGATGCACCCAACAGTTTCGCATGGCACTCAATCAGCTACTGGCCATGTGAGAGCCTCGGGACAGGGCCTGTTTTAAACTCACTGGACAAATGTACCCTGTGCCACGAGCTTTTTATCTCCAGGACTAAATGATTAATGGGCAGAACGATTGGTTGTAAATGAATCATTGTAAATATTTAAGTTGCTGTATGTTGGGGTGAACAAAGACGGTTGAGGAACTTTTGGAACAAGGGAGGAGAGAGAGATGGAGATTATCTAAAGGGTAGATTTAAGACGTTATGCATTATTATAGCTAAACTGTAATTATTGCTCTGATTATTATAATTGTCATTATTATTATTATTATTATGAGATGCTGACTAAAGGTGTTTAAAATTTTAAACGTGTATGTAGAAGTACATCCATTTTCATCACAGATCAACAACTGAGGCTTTTTATAAATGAATTGTGCCTGTTGAAAGCGTTAAGGGCACTTAACGTTAATGCTCTTTTATCTGCTGTTCATACAGGGTGGGTCAGTGTGAACGCAAAGCATGCTGGGAGTGAGCCAATTAACAGGTTTCAGCTGCATACAAAATCGCATACTTTCGTACTATACAGTAGGCTAAAACATAGTATGTCAGAATTCATTAAAGAACTGATAGAGTCTAACTAGATTTTGAGGTGGACATTTGATTCCATTAGGCCACAGGAGAGGATTGTAGTAGTAAAAGGATGCAATTGATGCCAGTTGGTCACATGATCAGGACAATATGGCAAATATAGTACATTCATACATTTTACAACATTTATTCATGTTCTTTTTGGCTTAAACCCTGCTTTTACTGTGAGATTTCAGCCACGATTTTGTCATCTGAGACAAATTTGAGATTCCTGAAATCCTAGTCTAAAATCTGTGGTCTTTGATCGTTGGTTTGACATGTTCACTGACAGCCACGTAATGCCTGTTGTGATCAGATTTTTCTGTCAAGGTCTGCAAGTGTCAGATTTCAGACACTTTCCTGCAGTGTGACAACAGCTGCGAAGAGCATCAATCCAAAAACCAAGGAGCTTCAAATTTGATGACGCAATCCATGCGACAATTCAAATGACCACGAGGTAATGTCAGAACAATGACATCAAACTCTGGGAGCATTTCCTTTTGTGTTTGGCATGTCTTCATTGTTGTTGAGTCTGACTTTATGACAGCTGAGATCTTACAGTGTAAGATAAGAGCCATGCTCGTGCAGTCTCACATGCTACAGTCATTTAGGATTATAAAAAAAATTTGCACAGTGTGAGCAAGAATTAATCAGGGTTCACCACAGCGGAATAAATCGCCAACTTATCCAGCATGCGTTGTAGGCAGCGCAACCCATCACTGGGAAACACCCATAAACTCTCATTCACACACATACACGTTCATTTTAGCATAACCAATTCACCTGTAGGTCATGTCTTTGGACTTGTGGGGAGCACTTGGAGAAAACCTACGCAAATATGGGTAGAACATGCAAACTCCACACAGAAATGCCAACTGACCCAGCCAAAGCTCGAACTAGCGTCCTTCTTGTTGTAAAGCAACAGCGCTACACATATATATATATATCATCTAAGTACAAACTACTAAAAAGAGTATGCGATTTTGAAGCGCAGCTGCCTCCTTATTTACTGTGAGAGTTTCAATCACTTATTTCCAGACTTTCTCCATAGCAATGCGATGGAGAACACAAACTTTTCTATTTAAAAAAAAAAAAAAAACATTTGAACATATTGAAATATTTCCTGCCTGTAAGCTCCACAAATGCCTGCTCACGGCTGTGCCCCTCTGGCATGTTTTAGGCTAGTTTGAAAACCTATCACGCCACTATTACTCAGTCCTTACTCAGTGATCTTTTGACCTTTACTGTAGTGCCACGTCCTGCTGGACAGGTGCATTGTGGCAACAAAATTCAGTCCCTGATTTCAATTCTGATCTTTGTCTTAGATCACATCCGACATAACCTGAGGCATTCAGTGCACAAATGTACTAGATCCAAAACCAGCTTGTATAAAAAAAAAAAACTTTCCCCATTGCATCTGTTTTCTGAATCACCTTCCTGAAGCTCAACCTCCCCCGCATTGTCTTTTATCTCCCTGTTGGTTGTATTCTAAATTTAAGAATATGTCAGAAAAAGTAGTTTAATGAAACCTATTAAACTTTTTAAGTACTGCAACATGTTGTTGTGCATATAGTCGAAATCCTTATCCATCTGAAATAAAGAAAGAAAAAAAAGCATTTAAGCCAAACACAGTGAGCTGATATATGTTGTATTGTTATTCTGTTCTCAAATCTGTGTTCAAGGATTTGAATGATATTGATATATGTTACTGTAAATTGCATAACTGGAAATATATGTTTAATATATTTTCATTAAAAAATACATTTTCAGTCCAAGTTTTTTAGCAATACAAGTTCTTAAATCAGCCAATCACTTGGCAGCCATTCAGTGCATTCAGGTTTAAACCAAGACAAAAGAAAGAAAGAAAGAAAGAAAGAAAGAAAGAAAGAAAGAAAGAAAGAAAGAAAGAAAGAAAGAAAGAAAGAAAGAAAGAAAGAAAGAAAGAAAGAAAGAAAGAAAGAAAGAAAGAAAGAAAGAAAGAAAGAAAGAAAGAAAGAAAGAAAGAAAGAAAGAAAGAAAGAAAGAAAGAAAGAAAGAAAGAAAGAAAGAAAGAAAGAAAGAAAGAAAGAAAGAAAGAAAGAAAGAAAGAAAGAAAGAAAGAAAGAAAGAAAGAAAGAAAGAAAGAAAGAAAGAAAGAAGGCCCTAAATGCCAATCTGTGGAACTGCATTCGAAATGTGAGCGTTTATTATGACTGTCCAACACAGGGGTGGCCAACCCTTTCCTGAAGAGCCACCTTCCTGCAGATTTCAGTTGCAACCCATATCAAACACACCTGCCTGTAATTATCACGTGGTGTTCAGGTTCTAATTAATTGGTTCAGCTGTGTTTGATATGGGTAGCAACTGAAATCTGCAGGAAGGAGGCTCTCCAAGAAAGGGTTGGCCACCCCTGGTCCAGCAGAATAACTCTACACATCACAAAGCTCACATGAGCTCAAACTGATTTGATCTGTGGATGTGCAGCAAGTGCATGATGATGAAGATATGTCAATTTGGACCAGGGGTCCGTTCTTCGTACCTCTCTTAAGTGATCTAAGATGATTTGGCAGATCCTGGATCTTTCAATCTTGATAACTGATCTCTGGCTAATTTAAAACAAGTTTGTGAATCAGATTAAAATATCTGGATCTGTAATCACTGGTGTGTTGTGAAGGACAGATCTATCGATCCACGAAATCATGATAAGCAATGCAGCGATTGGCTTTTGGCACAGCAGCGCAATGACATCATCTGATTAATATTCAATTATCCATGTGAGAAAAATGAGATAAAATTAGCAGGAAACAGTTTGTTAAATAATGTATGAAACTTTCTACCTTTGTGGTGGGCTGCAGGCTTTAGACTTCATGTATCTAGAGTATTTAGCAATTGATTTAGTTTTACATTGAGCAATTTTTTTTATTATAGTAGCCTAGGCCTGTTCAAGTTTCTTAATCGGCGTAGGTTGTAGGTGCGTTCGACATGAAGCTCAGCTGCAGCCGTTGATCAACGAGATTAGCCGAGCGCAGGCGGGGGCGGAGTTGAAAACGGAGCCGTCAAGACGGACAGCTGGGGCCTGTTTCAGAAAGGAGGTTAAGTGAAAACTCAAGAGTATTTTAACCCTGAAATGAGAGAAACTCTGGGTTTTCCGTTTCAAAATGGCAGGTTTGTTAAACTCGAGAAAGCAGGGTAAGTCAAGCCTGTTTCTGAAAGAAAGGTAACTTTAACTCAGAGTCAGTTACTGTGGTAACTTACTCTGTGAATCTAACCTGGTCAGAAGCAGGTTTTATTCTCTAAACTCAGAGTTTCTGTCGGTCTCCTCCCCTTTTTTAAAGATGAAGCGGTATTTCTCGCCTTAGCCTTATGTTTCCACCCACCTATTTTTATGCTTATTTTGGATACGTGCATAAAAACGATTGGTAGAAACGTCATGATGCACATAACTTTTTAAAATATGCATAAAAAACGCGCATAACTGAGTAGGTTAAACTTTTATTCGATAGAAAATGTGCGCATAAACTACGATGGAAACACTTTTACTGAACAAATTACAGCATGTACATTAAAAAAAGATCATGATGAAAATGTGTGTAAATGAACAAACCAGCAGGCTGAGCACACTGTAACACGTCTTAAATTATTGTTTTAGTCTATTCTAAAATGCCTTAACTGTTTCAGTATTAGTGTATATTATTAATTACCTCCGAACGTCTGGTGCGTGTCAAGAGTCTCCGCGTCTCATGGCTTCAGACGCCCCCACGTGTTCATTGTGTTTCAGCATTGTCTTCTGACATGGAGGCGCAACATTAATTAGGCTAAATAAAGAATTAATTGACGCAGCTTCTTCTACCACAGTAAATTCTGCTTTTACTGTTGATATTTGGTGCCAGTTTAATCAGGAAGTGACGATTTTTTTTCTCTTTGACTGGTTGGATGGAATTTTATTCGCAGCATCTTTTATGCGTTATTCCAGTTTTGCACATACATTTATGTAATATATTTGGATGGAAAATAGCTATTGCCTACATTTTAGTCACACACAGAAGAACTGTACGAGAATGGCTTATCCTTTTTTTTTATAAATAATTTAATTAAATTCACCTTCGACATGCATGTAACTAGATTAATGGGATTATTCTTTCTAAAAATAATTTTTAGTACTGCTTACCTTCTAAATGTTATATTAACCTCTATCACTTGATCATTAAAAAAGGCAGACACACAAGTGCACTGTTAAATCATTTAAAACTAATAAATGTATAAAAAAGTTTAGAAAAAAAAATATAAACGTCACAAATTACATTACTTATTTTATTATACTTAAATATTTAAATACTTAAAAAGTGAAATTAGGCATTAACTTGAGCAGCTGTTTTCCCACGCTAACTGTCTCTTCTTCACTGATGGTTGCTTCTTTTCAAATATATACGCTCATATTTGCAATAACTTTGCATGAGAACATCAAGTTCAGCCGGAGAAAGAAATGGTGATCTCTTTTATAAGATATTGCCATAGTCACTCGTAATGTCTGCGCTCCATTGATAATGCCTTTTTAAAGTCACGGTGTGCGCCATTGGTGTGCGCGCTTAACTCGGAGTTGGTCTACTCGAAGTTGATTGACCCAACTTAGATCAGCTATTCTGAAACCGAAAACTCAAGAGTTTTTAATCTCTCGGTAAATCAACTCAGAGTTCAAGTTTAAACTCTGAGTTGTTTGAACCTCCTTACTGAAACAGGCCCCTGGACACTTCGGGACTCAAAGTTGCTGCAGTCATGATGACCGATCACATGGCGTCATCATATTTTTTTGTTATTTTTATTTATAACAACAAAACATTTACAAATAAAACAGAATACAGTTTCTACAAACTGTGGTTCCTTTTTAAACAATAAGAGAGAATTATGACTAAAATATATAACAAATGCATGAGAGAAATAAGAGGAAATGAGAGGTTAATATAAATATAAAAAAGAACAGGTCTATTAAATACAAAGCAATAGGCATAAATTCTAGGAGTTAAACATCAACCTTTAGGCTAATACTTCTTGTTTGAAAATGCAAAAAAAAAAAAAAAGGGTTTACATATATGTACATTTATAGATATAAAAATTTCCAATGTAAAAAGCAAAACAAGGTGTTTTGATTAGGTCTTAATAAATGACATTATTTTGGATAATGAATGAATTTTCAAAAAAGCATTTTAATCCAAAAAGATTGTGTTAAAAAGAACAAAAGGTAAAATAAGTGAGCTATGTAGAAGTTTCCCAGAAAGAGTAGGTAGCCTTTAAACTGCTAGACACGAAATAAAATATATATTTATATTATAATAATAAAACCATTTTATAATTATTTAATAAAATAGTTCTTTACTTTAATTTGTTAAGAGAGCTTTAGGGTGGCAGGATCAATGATGATGATTTTCTTATTTCAAGTCTGTAAGACTTATTTAGGTTATTCACTAAAATATACACTAAAATATATCATTTAAATCGTTCATGGAGATGAATGCAGTAAATAGTCTGTATAAAAAAGTTAAAAATAAACCTGTGCAAACAAGCTAACCTTTATAACCAGATTATTTAACAAAAGATGATACTGCAGTAAAATATTTGTAGTCTTTTAATAAGCAAGATGTGTACAGGATAGAGAGGGTGTGAAAAGTGAATTGTTTGTTTTGAAACTTTTGAATCGGAATTTGTCCAATTATAAACCCGAAATACACGTTTTTGTTGTCATGTGGTGTACTCGGCCAATCGTGTAATATCGGTGTCGTCATCAGAGCTCCTGCAGTCGCTCTTCAGAAGCTGCACGGTCTGAGTTTACCGTCTGATCTCGGAGCGCTGTCGCGGTACTTTGATGCCACATGTGACAGTCACGTGGCGTCGGCGCAGCATCAATCCGGACAAGATTTCTAATCAGAATGCACCGCTTTAAGACAGATTTCGATCGATCTGCGCAGCGCTGCATGAAGTCGAACGCACCTAATAACTGGCTGTTTAAATAAATTTGCATCAAAAAAGCATTTAGATATCGGTAAAGGTGTCTGCAACTTTTGTGAAGCACAAATCACTGTCATATTAGCTGTCAAAATGTGTGCATGACTGCATAAATTGTTAATAAAAAAAAACTTGAATATTCTGCATGCCTATTAACATACACAAATTGCACTAAAGCTGGTAGCTTAAAATAATATACATTTGTGTCTAAATAGTCCTTACTAATAAATGTTCTCTTTTAACCTCCTTTGAGGAGGACCATCACGTGACACTCTTTGTACTTTTAATTCAGAGTGCAGACTGCATAAGGTTTATTTACATATTATTTAAACTTCAATGAAATTAATATAATTTTTTTAAACCTTAAAACTACACACACACACACACATATATATATATAAATATATACCTTTGCTTGAAACGACCTGATCTAAGCCTGTTTATTTGAAATAAGCCTGCTCCCAAGCTACTAGAACTGGGGCCTGTTTCAGCAAGGAGGTTCAAACAACTCGGAGTTTAAACTTGAACTCTGAGTTGATTTACCGAGAGATTAAAAACTCAGAGTTTTCGGTTTTAGAATAGCTGATCTGAGGTAGATCAATCAACTTTGAGTAGACCAACTCAGAGTTAAGAGCGCACACCGTGACTATAAAAAGACATTATTAATGGAGCACAGATATTACGAGTGACTATGGCAACATCTTAAAAAAAAAATAGATCAGCATTTCTTTCTCCAGCTGAATTTGATCTGCTCATGCAAAGTTATAGCAAATATGAATTATATATTTAAAAAGAAGCA